CGAAACTTTTGCTTGACTACCGTAACTTGTTATGGAAAATATCGAAGGAAATCCATCAAAAATTTTTTATCTATCCGAGATCGTATGTCGAAGCTTTTACTTGACGACTGTAGCCTGTAATGGAAGAGATAAAATCAAGTCCTCCTGGAATCGAATAAGCCTAGAATGAGATGTCAGAGATGCTCTGTTTTTCTCGAGACTAGGGGTAGATCGCAATAGACCGTATGTTTTTTTGAAAATATAGTTGCAGTCATACTCAAGAAAAGTGTTTAACAACTTATTAATTGTTAATTTTGAAACTTTTTGCCCCCCAACGTGGGCGTTTTCCATGTGAGCTTGTAAAACAACCCATGTATTGAGTCTTAAAGAGATCAGCTTCTTGATCTAGTTAAAAAACTCCAGTACGATGAGGGGGAGTTGAGGAAATGTTATTTGCGGCGAAGATTGTCCCCCAGTACAGAAGCAATTCTCGTAGACTTGTAATCTAAATGAAATGTGGGATGACTTCCCTATTACAGTTGTGCCCGGGATGTTAATATGAACTAACTTTCGAGACTGCAGTAAAGGTTGCCCCCATCCTGGAAGAAGTTGTGAAATAATTTGTGTCTGAATAAGATGTGAGAAGACAATCTTACTATAATTGTGCCCTGGACATTGACATGAATGACCTTTCGAGATTGCAGTGAAGGTTGTTCCCCACATTGAAGAATGCATCATAGATGATCTTCGTGACATGAAGGATGTTCCTTCGCCAGTTGGATAAAGTACATCATTGGGAAAGAAAGTAGGGGCTCGGTGTCTTAGAGTTAAAGATAATGCAGAACGGAACTTCGCTTCCCACAGACGGTGCCAAACTAATGTGTTGGGAAATTTGTAGCTGTAGAGTAATGAATTATCGTTTTAGCATTGCACGATAATTTAGCACACACTGATAAAAGAAAAGAAGTAGGAGGAGACACTTTGACATTTTATGTGGAAAACCCTTGAAATGAGGAAAAACTACAGGATAAAGTCCAAAATAATCTACTATGAATGATGAGTATAGAGGTTCATACCTCTCCTAAATTAGGGAAGATGAAATTACAAAGTTTATAACTATAATCTGACTGTAGTTCTTGGTAACAACAGGTTGCGAGAGTCATTGTTACTTGTTGTAGAGGTAGTAGTCCGTTGTGACTGTTGTAGATGGTTGCTTCAGAAGTGTTCATTGGCCAAAAAAATCATAGTAAGCAGTTACGAGAGTTGTAGACCACATAAGCCTTAGTGGCTAGTATGAATGGCGTTCGTAGGCCGCCGGGTTTAGGGAGCTGCATGAGCTGATGACCACGTAGTTCATTTAGGCGAGAATGAATGACATCTGTAGGCTGCGGGGGGCCAGGTCAGGAGCTGCACGAGCTGTGAACCAGGTAGGTCGTAGGGTCGAGTAAAAATAAGGTCCATAGGCCCCAGGGTCAAAGTCAGGAGCTGCACTAGCTGTAAACCACATAGGTCGTTGTTGACAAATAGACCGTAGTGATGAGCTCATGTCCCACTATGATGACTGACGGTGTTTGGTTGGTGGTGATCGATGATAATTGGTGGTGATCGACGGTGACAGTCGACAGTGGCTAACGGCAATCGACGAGTGTGGATGACGACCGGCAGTGGCCAATGGCGATCGACAGTGGTCGACGACGATCAGAATGGTGTTAGACTTCAACTCCTTCTTTGAGCTTTCAGTTCTCTCTGAAGCTTCAAGTCTCCCCTCTCATGAGGGTGGGTTTTATTTATAGTGTTCCGGGTGTCATTAATGCATGAATATAATTATTTTGATCGGACGGTTTGGATAATTTCCTTCAATCAAACGTCGTTTAATGGACATTTGAGTGCCTTAACTATGTCGGAATTGCATAAGCTTGGGCTCGTTGGATTAGTCTTGTCGAGATGCTCGATTCGACTATAAACTTTCCAGATTCGACAACCGTTTGACCTTCCAAATGTGTCTGAAAATCTTCCAATAATGGTTTAATGACTTGATATAAGCTTTGATTTGACTCGGATTGGAATAACTTTGAAATCATTAGGTCTGTCTCATCGAGCTGGTCGGTTTGACTATAAATTTGTTGAAATCGGAGCTCTATATGAGATTTTATCAAATTTTGAACATCCCTTACTCGAAATATTATCTCAAGATTCGTGTCATGTCTTGAGATTTGTGCTGGATAACAAAGATCTGTGGGTGGCGTATCAAAAATAATATTATTTCTCAATTTTTTATGATTAAACTAGATAATTATGAAATGACTTTGCAATGTTGTTCGGTAAAGATGCCTCATCATAATGCAAGTTAATTTACATATGTAGAAACATTAATAAAAATTAAACCAGAGCACGCATGGTATAAATTTCAACTACACAGCAAACTAACAAAAAAATTTCAACATGACAATTTAATTTAAAAAACAATTCAACACGCAACAAGTAGTTTGTAAGAAAATTTTACTCTGATACCAATTATAATGCAAGATAAAATATAAATCCACAAACAATAAAAAAAAGTAAGTAAAAATACCACTAGTTCTCAAATTCTTATGATTAAAAAAAATAAAAGATGCAATGACTATATATTAACAAATACAATGAAACAAAAGAATGATTTTGCAGCCCATTTGGCCAAATGTTTTGGTGAGATCTTTGATTTCAAAGCTCAACACATACAAGCGTGTATATATCAGCAAATAAAAAAAAAAAAAAGAATTACAGTTTTCTTCATTCTATACAAATCTTTGTGGACCATTCACTCATAATTTAAAGGAATAGATTTCCAAGGAATTCCGGTGCGTGTGTGTATGTCTATATATATATATATATATATATATATATATATCTGTGTGTGTGTGTGTGTGTGTGAGAGAGAGAGAGAGAGAGAGAAGAGTGTGTGGGTGTATGCAGCTAATTTAGCCCTAAAGCATCACACTTCTCCCATTTAGTTCATTGAACAGATAAATTTTATCCAAAATAGTCACTAAGGGACTAAAGTAAAAACAATTTTGTTCAGTTAGATTATAATGGGATCAATTTTTGTATCGTAATTTCTTTGTAAAGTTGCAGTACAAATTAGAAGAAATATAATACCCAGTCATTAAATTGTCCACACACAAATAATTTAGGGACTTTCTTGAAATTTTATCTATTATATATACATACATACAAAAAGGCATACATATATATGACGACAAGAAACCATGTCTTACATTCTTTCATAAAAAAATTATTATTATTTATTTTAATAATATTTTAATTTATAGCAAGATATGAGTAGATCAATTTTGCATCTAAGTATTTAAGACTTCACAAGCAAAAACGTTGTATTTGAATCTAAAAAAATGTTCTTTTGTGAATTAATCGATGATTTATTTAGAAATTATTGTCTATAAATAAATTTTATGTTAATTTTGATGAGATCAAATGCTTGATGGTTGCCAAAATTTACTATATATACATAATATTCAAATGTTTTACAATTTGACTAATTTTTTAGATGACTCATTAAGGGTATAATATTTTCATGGCTCTATTATTAATTGTTTAAAAAAATTGTGTATAAGTACAATAGTTTGTCTATATCATGCATCATACTTTTTATGTTGAGGATATGATTATATCAAAAGTTTCATTCATCAGAGTTATTTTTTTTTAGTTGGGCAGATTGGTGTGGGACCAGAGTAGTTCCCATTCACAGGATTTGTAATTCCAGACTATAGCAATACTTGTTCAAGGGAATGGTTTTGATGGATTTGTATGACTTATCCATATGTCACTATTTGCGATTTCTTATCATGTTGTTGATGTTGCAACTTATGGGCTAGTGAGTTACTAATACTTGCAATTTTCTGGTCAAGGGAGGGATTTCAACAGCACATTTTACCTACCCACTTGCATATACAAATTTCTGGGTTTTTGTGCAATAAATTGGTATTTTTTTCACTTCAAATTTGAATTTTGGATGAAATCAAAGTTGAATTTGATGATTATCTTGAATTAAATAAAAATAATTGAGTTAACTATATCTACTAGCCTAGGAATGAGAAGTCTATAAATAGTTGTTAAAAGGCATGTAAATTGATTATCTTTATTTAAATAAAAATTTCTTCTTCTATTTTTCAATCTTATGTATGCACGTTAGATGTGAGATTCCTTGCAGTGGAGTATACGTGCGACTACTTAATTGCATGAAGTTATCTCCTTATACTATTATGAGGCTTGGATTCCTTTGGTAACTTCTTTTCTTAACTTATCTTTTACATGTTTTAATACTGGCTAGCTAGTGCTTAAGACATTATTCAAATTTGGCAAAACTAGGAACCTATTTGTGGAGTTTAAATCAAAATGAATCATTGATTTCGTGCTATTCAAGTTTTTAGTTGATTCCTTGGGCATATTTAAGCATTGTATTATCATTGGTGTTTCAATTCTGGCATTTGACTATTTGCATTAAAGAAAATAAGTTATTTACTCATTTCGTGATTTGTAATTTGTGGTTCGTAACTCCTAAGATCCCCATATGCCTTGCATACATTGTATCATATCAGTTGCATTAGGAAACCTTAATCCTAAATTGTCCTGCATCAGCAAAAAAATATTAAAAAATGTACCATAATACAAGGGGACAAGTTAATTTTGAAGAATAAAGTAAGAAATATAGCAGAGCAAACATAAAGAGGACATAATTTACTAAAGAAAAGTATTACTTAATATGCCTACAACATGATGCAAAGCTCAACAAAAATGGACCGAGAATAAGAATATTTATAAATTTTGACTCAAATAAGGGATAAAGCTAATATGATGATGAGTGAAGCTTCTATTAAGGCTTAAGACTTGGTAAAGTAAAAAAGACAGTAATCTCTAGCAAAGATTTCAGCTAATAGAGCTGAATTTAGATTTAATGGAATCAATAAATTGGCGGTAAGATTCAATAAAATAACTTTAAAGTTTTCATTAAAACTTTAATTTGATACCTTCAGACCACCAGGTTTATCCCCAAAGTTATTAATTTGGCCTCTTCTAGAGTTCAAATCACCAATGACATCACCTAAATGCTCTTCGGGTGTGACAACTTCAACTTTCATTATAGGTTCAAGCATTCTCGGAGCAGATTTTCTCATTCCTTCTCGGAAAGCACCTCTAGCAGCCAATTGAAATGCCAATACACTTGAATCAACATCATGATAAGTCCCATCAACTAAAACAGCCCGAACATCGACAACAGGGTAGCCTGCAAGCACACCATTGCTCATACACTCTTCCAAGCCTTTCATCACTCCAGGAATGTATTCCTTTGGAACTGCTCCACCCTTTATCTCACTCTTAAATTCATAACCACTCCCAGGTTCCAAAGGCTCAAACCTCACCGTGATATCAGCAAACTGACCCTGGCCTCCAGACTGTTTCTTGTGTATGTATTGCACTTCTGAAACTCTTGAGATGCTTTCACGATAATTTACCTGGGGTGCACCTACGTTTGCCTCAACCTGCGGACAATATAAAATCTAATATTAACCAAAACAGAAAATATATGAAAGACAACTCAAGGGGGATCCATAGAGCTTTCTAACGGTCAAAGAAATAGTCACACAGGCAAAACAAGCATAAAAAAATACTATACGCAGATGCAGGAGTTAGGTAATCTTTTAAGACATCGAGATACATAAGGATTTGGCCAGAAGATCATCCCTAACCATGAGAATCTGATGGATTTTGCATTGCATTCAATCTTCGAATAAAGAATCCAGTAAAAAAAATACTGTTGTCTTTCAAATTTAAGAGAATATATCGACTTTCCTGTTTGCAACTGCTCATTGTTTCAATTAGATTTACCACACAATATGTAGCAAAAAAATATCTATGACTGTTCAGTTCAATGCAATTTGAATTTTTGTTGTCATGAAGATGGTATCATCTAAATGCCATGTTACATCTCAATGGTATGTTGTTTGAGTATAATGGTTTCTATAAAATATATCATGATGAACTTTAATTCAAAACTTCCCCGAATTGTTTCAGAATAACTATCTCGCCAATTCTACATTGGCGGAATCTATATTGATTTTGGTCGCGAGATGTCAAAGAACCAAACAATCAAAATCATTAGAAAACACAATGACACCAATATGTCAGGGAGCTAAACAATTCTTTTTGAAAACTAATCCCTCTTCTTAAGAGATGACAAATAGCAACTGAAAGTAACAACCAAGAATTTTGAAGGTAACTGAAAGCAAGAACTTATAAATCCATGCTGGCAAAAAATGCATTATAGCAGATAAAAGCCCAAGTTAAGCACCTTGAATTCCCTCTTAAGCCGATCAACAATGATCTCAAGATGAAGCTCTCCCATTCCTTCAATAACAGTTTGGTTAGTCTCCTCATCTCTTGAGAAATGAAAAGATGGATCTTCTTGAGCTAGCTTAATAAGCCCAACAGCCATCTTATCAAGATCAGCCTTTGTCTTGGGCTCTATAGCAACCTTAATGACAGGGTCTGGGAAATCCATCCGTTCAAGCACAATAGGTTTGTCAGGGATACAGAGTGTTTCACCTGTTACTGTCTCTTTTAGGCCAGCAAGTGCAACAATATCACCCGTCAATGCTGATTTGACGTCCTCTCTACTATTGGCATGCATCTCTAAGAGCCTTCCTATTCTCTCCTTCTTTCCTTTGTTTGAATTAAGAGCATATGATCCAGCAGACAATTTCCCAGAGTATACCCTAACAAATGTGAGAGATCCAACAAAAGGGTCGTTCATGATCTTAAAGGCCAATCCAGCAAAAGGCTCATCATCGCTGGGAAATCTTTCAAGGACCCTCTCTGGATCTTCTGGATCAGAGCCCTTCAATGGAGGCAAGTCTATTGGTGAAGGCAAGTAATCTACTACAGCATCAAGCAAAGGTTGAACTCCCTTGTTTTTGAATGCTGAACCACATAAAACAGGAACAAAAGCACCTGAAATGGTTCCTTTCCTAATTAAGGATTTCATGGTTTGCTCATTGGGTTCAATTCCTTCCAGATAGTTTTCCATGGCCTTATCATCTAACTCGACTATAGTTTCCATCAGTTGAGTCCTGTAGTTCTCAGCCAATTCTTGGAGATCTTCCGGTATGCATTCATAAGAAAATTTAGCACCTAATTCTTCTCCGGTCCAAATAATAGATTTCATTTTTACAACATCAACAACTCCACTAAAGCTATCTTCTGCACCAATCGGTAATTGCAGGACAAGTGGTTTAGCACCCAAATTTGTGACTATCATTTCACATGTTCTGAAAAAATTTGCCCCAAGGCGATCCATCTTATTAACAAAACATATTCTGGGGACTCCATATTTATCGGCTTGTCGCCATACAGTTTCAGATTGTGGTTCGACGCCTGCAACACTATCAAATAAGCATATTGCTCCATCTAAAACCCTGAGAGCACGCTCTACTTCCAGTGTGAAATCAACATGACCAGGTGTATCAATAATATTAATTCTGTGATTGTTCCAAAAGGTAGTTGTCGCTGCAGAAGTTATAGTGATACCTCTCTCTTGTTCCTGTTCCATCCAGTCCATTGTGGCTGTTCCCTCATGAACCTCCCCGATCTTATAATTTCTTCCAGTATAATATAGAATGCGTTCTGTGGTAGTAGTTTTGCCTGCATCTATGTGAGCCATAATGCCAATATTTCTGTAGTCCTTAAGAGGCACTTTTCGCTTTGAATCTATCAGTAATTAGAGTAGAGAATGTGTGATCAATTCAATGGATAAAAAAAAAAAAGACATAATTGTTCAAAAATATGTCTGCACATAATGCCTATGTCACTAAACTTATATAATTCATGAAAGTGTAAGGTAACCTACAATTTAATAAGAAAATCATGAGTGTAGATAACCTAAAATTAAACATGCAACGAAAGGTAATAACACTAGTGTGCAACTTTGCATGAACTATGACTCAACCAAAACATCTTTTACATACAAAAATAATAGATTGTAACCAAATATTAGTTTGAATTATTTGAGAATGATAACTGTAACCACATGTGGTAATTTGGCCATCTTTTTCATAAAGTGAAGGATTGCAACTTCAATGATAAAAAAAATTGATCTAAAACAAGATGATATTATATTAATCTAGTCTAGCTTCAAGTGAAGAAGCAAGGAAAAAATATGCCTTCTTACTCTTGTATGCACTAGTATAGCTCTAACAGTACCAAACAGATGATATAGAGAAAGTTTCCATTTTTCAAAATGGAAATCAAAACATGGAAAAATAGAAACATATAAGATTAATGTTATAGGAAATTCTTGATGCCATGCTGTGATATTTATCCATGGACAAATAATTCTGTTTCCCACACTATGCTTCCAATTACAATTTTTTTAACAAATGAATATTATTACAGAATCATCTACATGCAAACATTTGGTAGTGATTCATATCATCAAACATAAGAATGCATGTAATTCTTGTGATAGCAGTTTTCCAAGAGCAAGTACATACTATTAACTCATTCATCCAGATAAAGCACAGCTCTCATAAATTTTCAAAACCCATGGCTCATGAATCACCACAAAAAGAGCAAAAATTTAGCATACAACAAATAAACAGAAACAACAAGAGTCTTGCCTTCATCAGCCAAGGCCTTGACTGAAAGCTTCTCCTTTCAAAACACAAAATTTACTACGTAATCATTCAAATAAATATCATATCAACAAAACCTTCTGCCCCTAATCAGTTCTTGTCTCTAAAACTTGGAGAAATTCCGAATTGAGGCGTTTCAACAAAAAATAAATGCCACTCGTCCAACATAATCACTTCTTGTCTCTAAAACATGTTTTTCATCCTATAACCTCCAACAACATTCCCCCAGCAAAAACTTAAAATACAACAGAAAGCAAAAACGATTAAAACGATAAAGTTTACCATCTTCAGCAGCTGCCATGACTAGGAACTTTTCCTTTCTACCCTGAGACAGATGAACAGTAGTTCCAGACCTCAGGCGAAGGCCGCCGAATAAATCGGAGACGGCAGCTCGACGGAGACCGGGGGCAAGGAAGGAGCTGTGCGCAAGGGAGCGGCGAGAAGCGAGAGATAGGCGTCTAAGCGAGCCATGTAAGCTGCAGGAGGAGGGTGAAGCTGTTACCTTTATGGTTTCGCAAGCCATTTTGCTCCTCTCCTGCTCTTACTCGGAGCTTTCTGCTACACTACGCTTCCACGCTCGACTCACTGCAGATAACGAATGGAAACCCCGAGTTATCGGTCTTCCTCATGTCGCCAATGGATATAAAACTAGCCCTTAAATAAAGAAAAATTTGTGTGGGTATTCGAGGTTATATCCACCTTATACTCCTCTAACCTCTAATATACTTGTAATCTATTTATAACCTATAAATATATGAAAGCAGAAGTGCGAAATTTACTGATTATATGTAGATTACAGGAAAGTTACAGAGGTATAACGCGGATATAACCCACAACGCCCTCCTTGTAACCAACCTGACGTACGTCTTATGCACGCAAATTTTTTCTCTTAAAAAAAGAAAAATTTTACAATGAAACAAGTTCTGCAAATATTATTTATTTTCTTCTCAAAAATAATTTAATTTTTTATATTTTACAATAGATATTGTATGCGCTCAGTTTTAATGACACATTCGCGAATATATGTATCAATTTGAAAGAGGATAATGTGGTGTGCATTTATTTGTAAGTTATAGAATAGAGTGGCTAATTTGCAGATGAAAGGAATTCAATAGAATTGATCTCTTAATGATCTAAAAGGAAAGGAGAAAAGTTAGATTCCAAGGAACTCACCTTTAGCCTTCACACTAAGAAAAGTGAACTTAACTAAGATAAGGAAAAAATTGTATAGTCAAAAGCCACAAGGTAAGGTTCAAGTTGAAAAGTTGTACAGCTCGTTGATCTGGCAAGATAGTTCGACTCTATTAATTCGAGTGTTCGACTAAATCAGATTGTTATGCCTGATAATATGCTCTGGTGATATGTGTTATATAGCCCACATTATATTGTTGTGTTATTGCTATTATGCATGGTTGTTGATTTTATTAATTTTTTATGAAAATAGGAGACAATTTTTGAATGTTTAATTTTTAAAATAATCAAACCCGATAGCAAAAATAATATACTATCTCGAAAAATGGAAATATCACTTTACAATGGGTTCAATTAATTAAATATTTTTTTTGGATATTTGCATGATCTACGTTTAAACGATCAACAACTTTCCACTACCTAATTCAAATATTAGATGGGGTTTAGATTAATTTGTGTTGCTAATTTCTATAAAATGAAGCCCGTATAGTTAATAACATCTTAAAAAACAATGTTTTTAAGAAAATTTTAGATTAAGGTTGTGATTTTGTCTTCGAGAATTTTATAAGTTTAAGTTTTCACGATTGATTATTAAGAATGTTAAAAGAGAAAGCTCAAAAGTAGAGTAGTTATTTATGGAATACAAAAGAAGAAAATAAAAGGTTTATGATACGTAGAGACTCGGTGACATCTCAACTATCATATTATTCGACTTTATTAATTTTGAGAAAGATTAATTTAATATTCAAGTTTATATTTATTATAATTTAAGGACTTATATCACACAATATATGATTATGTGAAACCAAAGACGTGAGGATTTATGTCATAATCAATTGAGCATCCTTGAAATCCTAAGATTATTTTGAGGCTTACCGAATGAAGTTGAACCTTAGAACCTCGTCTAAAGAGAGAGAAAATATAGCAAACAAAGGACTTATAGTTCAATCCTATAAATGATTAACAAACCCGACACACAATTGGATTTACAACCTTGCTTAGAAAGGACTGTCATCTGAACCAGCATAATCACAGTAAAATTGTACGTAGCTGGTTTAATGAAATACAATATATAGATAGAGTGTTATTTATTAGAAAAGTTGGTCTTACAAGTTGGTTACAAAAATAAAGATGCTTAAATGTGAATGGTATTCAAAAAATCTTAAAACTAATGCAAATTTATCTTCGTAAATTAAAATTTAAAATTTTTATAGCTCACCACACTTGAATATTTTATTATTTTTGTTAACTCGTAGTTTGTGGGTTTTTTTATTGACAAAAATATATCAACCATGAATCTTGAAAGATTTCTATCTAAATGACCAGATGCAGCATTTGAAAGTAACATACTACTCCAATGAATATAAATATTATCTTAGAATGGATCAAATCACTTAGATGATGAAAATCTCTATGATTTATGAGTTTATAGTTTGCGGGGTCTTTTCCCTTATCTTATGGATGTAAGATAAGTTTTATTTTATTTTGAGATTTGAATATACCTTTGAGGGAATGCCCTCATAGTTAATTACAACACAGGACTTGTGGCTCCTGAGAGTACTCTTGATTAAAGTTTTAACTTTTATGGTGCACAATTATTAGTAATTTTATGTGAGATGCTTGATATTAAGAACTCAGATTGACTGATTTGAGATATTTAATGATTTTAGTGGATTGGGATTGATTCACTTAAGATGAGAACTAGAGTTAGTTATGTTTAGTTTCATTTGAAAGAATTTTTTGAGTTGATTTGTTTGTTTTTTTTTTTAAGTTTATTGCAAGTCATAAAAATTACTTATTTGATATTCAATTTGGTTTGAGTGTGTTTATATTTATTCCTTTTTAAATTTGTTTACAATCGTTTATTTAGCTTCTTTGAAATTGATTTATTTGTATACTTTTGTTTAATGTTGATTGAAATCTTTAAGTTAGTTCGAGAGTAATTCCAAAATTTATTGTAAAATTATTAAGGATTATTTAAAAATTAAGTTTATTATTATTATTTTTAGTTTATTTAAGATTTAAGATTTATTAATTCTTATTAAGGTTGGTTAAATTATATTAAAACTTGTTAAATTTAAGTTTAAGGAATTTTGTTAAAATTTGTTACGATTTTATTATAGTTTGTTAAAATTTATTAAAATTTATTTAAGTTTGTTAAATTTTATTGGGGTTGACTAAGGTTAAAGTTAATTGATGTTATGAGGTTTAATTAAAATATATAAATTAAATATGCTTGAAATTTGTTTTATTTTATAAAGTTGGTTAAAGTTAATTAAAATTTGATTAAGGTTTATTTAAAGTTAATTAATGTACGTTGTATTTCATTCAAACAGATTAATGTTGCTTGAAACTTATAGAGTTTAACTAAGATCCATTTAAATTAAAATTAATGAAAATTTATTATTTTTTATAAGATTGTTTAAACTTTATTAAATTATGATTTGTGTTTTAAGTTTGGATTTAAGTTTTAGGATCTTGAATTTGTAGGGTTTGGGTCTAATAGTTATATACTAAAAATGGAGATTTGATATTTGGGGTGGGATTTGGATTTAAGTTTGAGTTTAAGAAAAATGGATTTGAGTTTGAGCTTGGAATTTAAATTTCAGAAAATTGGATTAAGTTTGGAGCTTTTTTATTTAACAAAATTTGATTTGAGCATAACTTTACATTAAGGGGTAAGAAAGGTTGGAGGGATTTCCAGATGGAGGTGAAACCTTCATCCTAGAATAATTATACTAAAGAGGAGGCCAACTGGGTGGACTAACATAAATTTTGAGAATAATGCCTCCAGTTAAAATGCCTATGATTTTCCATTATCTCAAAAGCGCTACAATCCTTAGACTATCATACATCAAAATAATAGGAGGTCTCTATCATGATCATGGCTAATGTATACTTTCCTGCTATTTCGTTTTTTGGGGTGCATTTGTCAGTATTCGTAATTTTGTTTAAGTTTTGTTTTGTTAACATTACTTTTAATATAAATCATGTTTTGTTTTGTTATCCTCTTGAATCCTGAGTAGTTTTCTTTTTTTTTCTCCTTGCAATAAGAAGCAATCATGTGGAAGATTTGATTTGTTTAGAACTTCTTTTATTCCCAAAATTGTGATTGTGATTTTATCAATTCTTCATTTACTTTACAAACTGGTCACTTGTAATGTTAAAATTTGTTGTGAAACATAATGACCCGGGAGGGCTACGATTTTCACCCAACTAGTGAATACCACATTAATCTTTAGGATTGAGCTTCCTAGTCCATTGGTTGGTGTAAATAGATAGAGAGATAATATTTGATGGGCGTAGAATTGGTGTCTCTAGGGTGATAGGCTAGATCTTTTACTAATTTGGTCTACTGTTGGAACTAGATTCTCTGGTTAGTCCTATAGAGAGGGCATAATGAGTTCTCTAAAGGTGAGAGGCTATAATCTACTCAACATAACCATAGAATCAGAAACCTACTTTATGGGACTTAACTCTAGATTAGTCAATGTTCTTTATGCACTCGGGAGAGAGTAAAGAATAGATATGCTCCAATTTATCACAAAACCACATTTTAACCTTTAAACATTCAATTCATTCATTGGTTATGATTTCATTGCAAGGGGAAAGAGATTTTTATTATATAAGAACTTTCGAAAATTTAACCATTCTTTTTAGATTAGATTTTTATTTAATTTATTTAACTTTAATTTTATAGCAAATTAGTAAATTTAAGAAAAGCAAACTTTTAAAAAATTCCAAACTAAGACTTGATAGTAGTAGACTAGAACTTATCCTAAGGGATTTCTTACCTCAATTTTCAGTGAGATCGATACTGGGATTTTAAACAAAGTCCTATATTACTTAAAACGATATGTGTGCTTGCGTAAAACCCCTAGTGTGTAAAATATAAATCAATTATAAATTTTATATCATATCCATTTTGCATACTAGCCATATAAAAAAATTGGGTCAAGTTTTTGACCTGGAATCTAAGGAACTGTGGAATTGCGGGTCGAGCATCACTCTCGTGTTCAGACTATAGCATACTCGAACTGGCGCCAGTTCACATAATCAATTTTGGCAAGAAAATTTTTGCCTTTCCGAGCTTTGCATATAAAATAATTTACAAGGCCTTAGATATCTTTTGGCTGCTGGAGACTATAAGAAAGGCAGAGTTTTTATTAGAGAAAGGATTTCTCTTGGCTTTCTCTTGTTTCCTTGGATTGAAACCTCAAGAGGGATGGTTTCCCTTTGATATCTTAAGAAGCTTTGGAGAGTTCTATTCTATGAGAGGAGACGGTGCTATTCCTGTGAAGAAGACATATTTTATTGTATATTCTTGCTTCTGTTAGTTTTTTGCAATGAAAATATGCATGAATTATATGTTTGTGGCTTTCTCTACAATGTTTGGCTAATCATTTCTTCATGTTTCTGTGATGTAGGGC